ATGTTCTCTTGATTCAGGCAGATTGCAACATAAAACACATATACCATCAATCTGTTTGCCCCATTTTATCAGCTTATCTTTAGTAATGATACTATCCTGGAGAATCAACCAAGCTAAGAAACTGGGACCAGGAATAAATCATTTTCCCCAGATCAGCCTGTGCCAATTCACCTTGGGCCATTTCACTCTAACGGATTCCCAAACCAGACCAACCGAATACCTCTACATAGGTGAGTCATCCCAGCACAAGGAACTCCCCTGACCTGAGAAATGCCTTTGAACATCTGTTCTACTCTGCATGAGCAGAAGCCAAATCATTATGGCAGTACAAACTTGATTCCATGAAAACAGCTCCTTAAGCCCCACACTTCCTTCTTGTCGAGGCCTTGCTAGTCTTTCCCAGCTAACCTTAGCCTTTCCCTCATCTCCACCATGCCATAAAAAGTTTGAACATACTTTATGAACCTGCTTGAGTACTTTCTTGGGTAGGAAAAATACTTGCTTCCAGTACTGAAGCACTCCCATAAACACAGATGATATGAGTTGCAAACGACCAGCATAACTAAGTTTTTTGACCCGCCAACTTTTAATTTTCTGAGTAATTTTTTCCACCAACCTAGCACAATCAGCAGAGGAGAGTTTACCAGAGATGAGAGGAAGTCCCAAATAACGAACTGGGAGCTTACCCTCCTGAAAACCAGAAACCTCCAAATCTTGCTTCTTGAAATCAACTAAACATCCCCCAAAATATACCTCACACTTACGAGGATTGCATTGAAGCCCAGACATTCCATAAAATTCATGGAGAAGGTTCTGAATATTAGCAATAGCACGCCCAGATCCCTCAGTAAAAATTAGGAGATCATCAGTGAAGCAAAGGTGTGTTAACTGGACTCTTTTACACTGAGGGTGGTAAGGAATAAGACCAGAACATGCCGCAGCATTAAGAGTAACTTTCAAACCCTCCATGGCAATAGTGAATAGATAAGGGGATAGAGGATCCCCTTGTCTAACCCCACGCTTAGCCCCAAAGTAACCACACAAACCACCATTCACACATATACTAAAACGAGCAGTTTTGACACACAATGATATCCATCTAATGAATTGATTAGGGAAACCCATGACAGACATCATTAAGAAGAGATATTCCCAATTAACAGAATCAAACGCTTTCATCAAATTAACTTTTATAGCACACCTTGATGACAACTGCTTTTTATGATAACCACTAACTAATTCCTGGGCCATGAGAATATTATCAATAATTCTCCTACCCTCAATAAAAGTAGACTGATTGCCACTGATTACTGAGGGGGGGGGGGGACCTTTCTCAAACGAGTTGCCAGCAACTTTGCAATAATCTTATAAAGAAAATTAATGCATGAAATGGGTCTGAAATCTTTAAGAGCACAAGCTGAAGGGATTTTAGGCAGGAGAGTAATGGCAGCTGAGTTAACACTACCTGGAAGGTGCCCTGAATGAAAGAAATCCAGCACTGCATTTCAAATATCTCCTCCAATGATAGACCAAATTTTCCTATAAAACCATGCAGGTAAACAATCTGGCCCCGGGGCTTTATGAGGATCCATATGCTTAACTACATTCCACACACAGGAGTAAAGGATAGACAAAGAAAGCTTCTTTCACCATCAGACAACCTCTTATGAATTAAACTCTCAAGCTTCTCCCTGTTTGGATGCACTTGAGAATCCACTTTGCCAAAAGAAGAAGAATAAAAACGCACAGCCTCGGCTGCAATCTGCTCACTATCAAGAACCTCCTCACCAGAATCATTCACCAACTTCCTTATTGCTTTCTTGGCATTTCGAATTTTGACTGCAAACCTAAAGTAATTAGTATTACATTCACCCAGAGCAAGCCAGTCAACCCTTGATTTTTGTTTATACATGCTTTCTTCAGCCTTCTTCAATTCCCTCAGTTTTGCTTCCAGAGTAGCAACCTCCTGAAACACTTGTTCCTCAGGCTCATCCAATGCATTAATCTGCACCAAATTAAGCTGAGCTTCTAAATTTCTCACCTGACCACTTAGATCCCCATAAACTTCCTCGTTAAACTTCTTTAACACCCTCTTCACCTCATTCAGTTTAGCCTTTGCCACCATAATAGGGGGTCCCTGAACATCCAACTCCCAAGCTTTTTGAACTAGAGGGAGGAACTGAGGGTCCTCTGCCCAAAATTCAAAGTATTTAAATGGTTTAGGGAATGTTTTCTGACCTGGCTGAGTTGCTACCAGCACACCACAATGATCAGTAAAAGAAGCAGTGAGTAAATCAACTCTACATTCAGGGAATGCATCAAACCAACCTTCATTGACCAATGCTCTATCCAACTTCTTAGCTATTGGATTATTCACCTGTTTATTTGACCAAGTAAATTGAGGCCCCATCATTCTGTGATCAATTAGGTCAATTGCAGCTACCCAGTTAGTGAAATCATCCATACAACTAGTTCGAACACACAAATTAGAGGTTTCCTCAGGTGCCAACACCACATTAAAATCTCCACTCACTAGCCATGGAACACCACTGATCTTTGTTTGAGCTAATTCTTGGTAAGTCTGCCTCCTCTCCATTTCATCATTAGTGCCATAAACCGCTGTGAAAAACAATGACTCCCCACTAACCGAAGTAGCTAGACAATGCACAAAATATTTCCCCGTGAGCAAAATTCTTACATCCACCACTTCTGGACCCCAAAATAACCATACTCTCCCAAGCTCAGAATCAACATAGTTTAGATGTCTCTTCCAGTCCTGGCAAAAACCCTCTACAACTTCCTCTGCTTTTACTTTCTTAACTCTTGTCTCAATAACAGCTACCACTTCTACTCTACACTTGTGAAGAACCCTAGTCAGGTTCTTCCTTTTAGAGGGTTTGTTAAACCCTCTAACATTCCAGAAAGGAGAATCATGGGGGAGAAGAGGGCTGATTAAGCCGTGATTTCTTCCCACCTTTTTTTGGAGCCCCTTGGAGTTGAACAACCTTATCCTCATTTAACCCTTCCAATGCAGCAAACGAATGAGAAGTAGATAGAACACTTGTAGGACTAGTTAATGGCGACCATCTCGGCTTAGCCCCATGTACAACTTTCTAAAACTCCAGATCAGATGGCAGCCTAGGTGACAAACCTTCATAGACCTGTTGGAATGATACCTCCAGATTGACACCCTATATACAGTTCCTTGTACTCCCTGAAGGTACTTCAATCCTATTGGATCCAATCACCACCTCATTAGCCCAGCAGTTAACATTGACAGGAGCATCCACTACAACCTCTTTGCCTTTAGCAGAACTCTTCACTAGAGTGATTTCCTCTACCGAATCAGAAACAACTACCTTCGGAACCCATACCTTTCCCTCCCTTATACAACCACAATCAAGCCCAAATGTCTTGCACAACTTACAAACTGGAGGCAAATGGCTATATGTTACCCCCACCCGGATCGAAGAATCATCAGTAGGCCAAATCAGTATATGATCAGGGAAGTCACCATCTGCGCGTAATTCAACAAGAATTTTTGCAAACCCCAAACGTCCTCCCACCCTAGTAGTTTGATCCACACCCAACGGAATACCTAACCAACTCGCAGTCTTACTCAGACCACGATAGTTCACATAATCAAGGGGAAGATTCGAGAACCTAACCCAGATTGGCAGAGCTTTACGACCCAGATCTTCAACATCAATTCCAGGTTTCCAAGAGCGAAGATACAACAAATTGTCCATGTAGAACCAGGAGCCACTTTCCAAAATCCAATCGCAAGTAGCCTGCGAAGGGAGTTGGATAAGCAACAGTTTATCTCCAAGAAGAGACACACGCACCGGCCCATCCCTTCCCCACATCCGATTCGCCGACCGACGAAGTTCCGAAAGCGCTAGAAAAGGATGAAGAAATTCCCCAACCAAACTGAATTTCCAACGAGGAGATCCCTCCTCACTCACTTCCTTTGGCATCCGAAGCCCCCCCCCCCCCTATACACCTCTGACTTCATGTAGCAAAGTCGATTAGCCTCCGAGATACCAAATAGATCTGCCCAGGGTTTAATTGGAACCCCGAATCAGCTGATGAAGCAACCTCTCCAGTCAACGATGGAATCGCACTCATCGGAACCAAGAAAAAACAGACAAAGAACTGATCAATGGAAGAAATAGCACCGGCGCAGATGCCAGCACGGCCAGCCTAGCCCGAGTCGGAAACCAGAACCGCCGGAAATTGGGAGAACTTTCTCCTTAGAGACCTAATTTTTCTATATTTGGTATTACCAAATACACGTATTATTTATTGGGATTGAGTTTTAATTGTTATTCGGTATTAGGGATTACGGGATTGAGATCGGTAATATACCGAAATACCGATCAATACCGAAATATAAGCTAGTGTGTATTTTATCCTCTCAACTAGACTCTCTCATCAACTACTACATGACCCTCAACCACCAAGAGTGTCATTTAATTAGATCATTCCATCACTATTTCATAAATTAGAGAAGTTCCCATTCAACTCAAATTTGACTTTCCAATTTAAGTCACTTTCGTTTCTCACCTAATATCTATTGTTATTTTCATAACACCAAAAAGCAAACACTAGTATTAGTCGTCTCTTAACCTCCAATTCGTCAAATTAAAGATTATCAATTACAAGAACATGAGATGTAGCATTTCCTCCATTCTCCTTATCCATATCCTAGCTCTAGGCAAACTCAAGACTCTTTACTTAGTCCCTTTACCCTAAATTAAATAATAAAATCTAATTTATATATTTAATTTTTAATTGCAAAGGCAATTAGTTTCGTATTCGATAATACCGATTGGGATACTAAAATATTTAGAGATTGAGATTGGGATACTGAAATTATTTAGGAATTGGATTGAGTTTAGGGTGTAATTCGATATTCGGGATTTCGATATTTAGTATTGAGATATATCAATTTCCACCCTACAGGCTACAAGTACTCATCAGCTGTCACTTTTTTTCTTCATCCATCCATCTTCAGGTGGTTCATAAATAAACTGAAATTCCACAAAACAACAAAACCCAACAATTTGCCTTTCTTCCCTCCCCCCTTGTACTTGGCGACGTCTCAGAGGGTGGTTGGCCAAGAAGATAAATCTGTTTTCTACTTCTTAACGGGAAACAGGAACAAAACAAAACAAAACCAAACCGAAACCCTCAGCCAGAAATGGTAAACGTAGTGGTCGCATACCAAGACCACTTCTTGCGCCGCCTAATGAAGGTAGCCGTCGGCACCCAACCGGAGGCGGTGGAGATCGAGGAAGGGACGGTGATCAACTTCTGGGTGCCGACGACCTCCGCAACCAAAAACCACCTCCCACCGCTGGTCTTCCTCCACGGCTTCGGCTTCAACGGCATCCTGACGTGGCAGTTCCAGATCCCAGCCTTCTCCAGGTCCCACTCCGTCTACGTCCCTGACCTGCTCTTCTTCGGCTGCTCCTTCACCCAGAATCCCCGCCGCTCGCCGGCGTTCATGGCGGAGTGCCTGGCGAAGGGCTTGAGGAAGCTCGGGGTGGAGAGGGGCTGCACGGTGGTCGGGTTCAGCTACGGCGGCATCGTGGCCTTCAAGATGGCGGAGATGTTTCCCGAGATGGTCCGGGCGGTCGTGGTGACCGGTTCGGGTATGGAGTTCACGAGGTCGGTCAGCCGGTCCGGGTTGGAGCGGTTGGGTTATGGGTCGTGGGCGGAATGCTTGGTTCCCGAGACGGTGGAAGGGATGCAGAAGCTTCTGGAGATTGCTGCCTACAAACAGCTGCCGCTACCTGCTCGCGTTGTTAAAGATGCCTGGGAGGTTAGTCGGTCTCTGTACCCGTTGTGCAAATCTGTAATTTAGACTCCAACGAGATGTGTTCTTAAATCTTAATAGTCAAGTAATTAGCTGATAATAACAACCTCTTAGTTGGAACTTAAACTAACTTTTTTTAACGACAAGATGTTGTTATACATACACATCACAACGTAACATTTATGATAGATCGATGCGGAGCGCTTCTTCGATCGGCACCATATCTCGACTTGAATTTTCGATATGTCAGCCTGTATTAAGCCTTCTTCTCTGATGTGACAGCACAGGAAATGAAGTGTAGAGTGTAGGAGTTTCTGGGTGAAGTGGAAAGGAGTGCTAGTGGGGTTGGGGTTATGAAAGTGGGGGGGTGAGTGGAACATGCATCATTGTCAGGGGAAGAAACGTGTTTGTGTGCACTAGTAAACGAAAAGCTATAAATTATAAGTGCATGGAAAATATGAGAAAGATTTGTTTTCTTTAGAGGTGTCACAAACGTGTTTAGGGGTAGTTATCAATTTTTTTAACAGAAACAAAACATGGATTGTTTTTGTGATATGACAAAACCTATCGTTAAAAATGATCGATTGTTATATCTATCTTTTAGGTGTGATTGTTGAGTTGAGATTGTTTTGTCTCAGGTTTAAGTTGATATGACATACACAATTACACATACAAAATATTGTATTTTACCATGCATCAAATTCGACAATACATGTAAAATAATATTATACATGCATTCACAACAATATATCTATTTAACAATCTAACTACCCTTATTTTTATTTTTATTCATGTATTGTTGTGTTTGGTTATGCAACAGTTGTAGTTGTTTATGCAACTGATAATATTTATTCACACAATAATAGTAGTTATTTATTCATGTAGGTTGTTATTTATTCATGCCAAAATAGTATTTTAAAACATTAACTTTTTATGTTTTCAAAAACTATCAAAATTTACTTTATTTTATAGATTAGGCAAATTGTGAAAACAAACTGAAAATTTAAATTTAACTTCACAAATATGGACAATGCAAATTATTAGATAATAATTCAGTGAAAAATAGAAGAAAAAAAAACTCTCTTCCATTATCAGTGGTTGTTTGATTTTGGTGATTGTTTGGTTGGGATAGTTACTATGCATGTATTGTCTACAATGCATTGTTTTTTTAATTTTCTGCACAAATTATACATGCATTGTTTCCTGTGTACTATCTCAAGTTTTTTGTGAGATTGTTGAGATTGTTTGTTTAAAATTGTTGGAGTGTTTTCTACTTTCAACTATGTCCCTACCTTTTGATTTGTTTTGCTTTTTTATATTAAAAATAAAGAGTAAAAGTAACATTTCACCGAAAAAGCAATATATTTTATTTAAATACTATATTATCTATAACGGAAACCAAATGAGGTAAACTACGATACATCAATTTTTTTATATACATATATATTATTATACATGCATTGATAACAATGCATCTATTTAACTATCACCAAAACCAAACAAACTTAATAACCGTGCATGTGAAATTGTGTTTCCGTTTCCTGGGTGGTTTGACTTGACCGAATAGTGGTTGAAGAAATGAATCGTGTTTGTTGGTGTATTGGGATGTGGCGGGGGATGGGATGGTATGGGTAGGCATTGATTGAACACAGGAAAGAGAGGGCAGAGCTACTGGAGGAGATGGTCATTGAAGACCACAACTTCAAAGTACATCCATACACTCAGGTCAGTCACTCACTGCACTTAATTCCCCCACGCCTTCCATCTTTATCTTCCTCCTGCGCCTCTCTTTTTATGGCCTACACAAAAAGAAGAAAGAAACACAATTTACCAAAAAAGGGGGAAACCCAGCATTCATCCACTATAGAATTGCGTTATTGATTTACCACGTTTCTTCCTCTGACAAATAATGCAATCTCATCAACCACGGTATATTATGTGATTGGTCTACTAGCCAAGATTTTCAACATATGAAGAATAGTTTCATATTGCTTCAGTTATAAATATAGAATTGCGTTATTCATAGATACGGTGATCAGTTTGATGTTTGGGACGTTTGTATCTGTCTTTTCTTTTTGTAATAGAAGTGAGTTGAAAACTGTATAAACAAGACTAAATTATGTTCAACTTAGCCAAATGTTTGTTATTTCGCTAACCTATGCTTACTTGAACACTCTTAAGGCTAAGCTAAGCTGATGCATTTGTGGATTCTAGAAACGTAATCCTTTAACCACATTGCTTGATCTCTATCCTTCTTCATAGAGCATAAAACTATTAGTGATGCCAATGTTTCTATTCCAAGTAATACCTATGTCCTTGCGGTCGCTTTCAACGTTTCGTGCAATTGCAAGCCTGGAAAGAGCGTTGCACATGGTTATTATCTTCTCTGGCGACATGATCATGTAATGAAAATAATCTCAATCCCCGTTATTGTTTTCTCTAGTCATTCGTGGAATGAAGTGGATGTCATATTCACTCAGCTAGAGAGTCCACCAACCACACTTAGAGATTGTAGGGCTTTTTGAATGAGTAGGTTTGTTGTGACTTTAATTGTCTGTCTTTATTTGAAAATAAGGCCAGAGATTCCTTGTTGCACGAACTAACAACAACAAGAGTGGTCTTCTTAATGGGGGATATATAGTTTTCGCACAATATTTGACCCGAAATTGAATTAGGCATCACGAATTTCATTCTCTTGATCATGAATTCTTAACTTGTCATTGTTTTGCTTAACTTTCAATCATTGTTATGGAATGTAGCGTATAGTGTCTTACTCTACCATTGTAATTTTCAGAAGATTCATTTTATATGGGGAGAAAATGACAGATTGATAAACATGGAAGTGGCTCGACACCAACAAATGTACTCTTCATTTCTATAACACTTGTTCATCCATCCGTTGCTAATAAATTGTTTTTTCCCATCGTAACTAATTGTTTTACGTTGCAGGCTACTGAAAGGTAAAGCAACTTTGCAGTCGATTGAAAAGGCGGGGCATCTGGTTCAGATGGAGAGACCATGGGTTTTCAATGGGCACCTCAAGAAATTCCTTGATTCCTTGAACGATAAATAATTGGTCCAAAGGAGATCAGCCTAGTGGTGATTTACCGATTATGACACTTGATTTTTTTTTTTTTTTTTTTTTTGTTGTTGTAACAATTATAATATTTTAAGCTAATATATCGAGAAACCCTTATCAACCTTTAGGGTTTTGGAGGCTAGACGTGAAGGACAAGAAGAAGATAAGAATCACGATTGTGGGAATTTTGACTTCTAGACTTTTCATTCGGCGTCTGCTCCTTTATATATTCGACTAGATTTCTTGCCCACGCTTCGCGTCGAGACTTGTGGTATATACATAACTTATTTCTAATAATCTATGAAAAACCTCATTTGTTTTGGGTGTGATATTAAATAGCGCAATGCATCATAGGAGGCTCGCATATAAATTTGGCCGCAAACAACAATGAGTCTGCAATTGTGCAAATTAGAATAATGTATAGCGGCATATGTATGTGTTTCTATAATGCTACACTAGTTTATACCCGATCCGTTGTCTGGATGACCTTTCAAATCATTCCGAGTCAAATAATTTGAATTTGCTTGCCAGAAATACAATTATTTAGGATGGAAAGCATGGAAAAAATCTACTGAAAAGAAGGGGAAGTGTGAAGACAGTGACATCTGTTCTTGAGATGCGGATAGCATGAAGGTTAACAACACTATGGATTGCAATAATTCAAAGCTCCAAGTTTCCTTTTAGATGACTTTGTAATTGGTTTGACAAAAAAACATCTTCGATATTCAGTATTCACCAAGTCACCATCGTTAGTGCCATTGGTTACTTGTGGTGAAGTTAAAGTGGGGAATCTATTATTTTCATGAATTGGGATGAAAAATGAACATTGGCAAGATGCCCATGTAGTAACAAACATGTTAGTAAGAGTGAAAACATTATGGGTATATGTAATTCTAAAGTTTTAGTGAAAATATATAATGAACTCACCATATTATCTACGAAAGTTGCGTTGTCGATGTTTTCTCTTTTTCTTCAATGATCGTCAATATACTAAGTTTGCTTGCTATGTTGGAGTAGGCATAGTCAATAAGCTTGATATGCACATTTAATTATATACCTTCAAGCGTCAAAATTCCACCAGATGATGAGTTGTCTTTGCTGTGAGTTTTGTCATAAAACTGTTGGTCCTGTATGTTCAACAGTTTCGAGGTCATATGCGAGCAGTACCAAATCAGTTGCATTAAAGTTATCGGTCACAGTAATGACAATGCAAAACATGTGTTAACAAATGGGAATAAGGGTTACTTTTACGGATTAACATTAGACGATGGAATTGAAGAATGGGATTAACCTTAGTTACGCGACATGTAATTTGGTTCATTTAGTGTGGAGGACACCATAATTTAGCACCTATAGAAAGTTAAACCATTACAAATAATATTGGCTTCAAACCATATTGGTCTTCTATATAAGACATATGCATAGTCCTGACAACCAACCATCAATCTCAAACCAAAATTAACATAGTTGAATAACACAACTTAGAGTGCAAACATGAGGTTGAACATCAAAGCTAATGAGTTGCATCGATGCTGAAAGAGGAAAGCATCTTATATGAGACTGACTACCAATTTCATGTCTTAACTTGACACGAAGTTAACATAGGTGTTTTATATTTGGCAAGGTCGAACAACTTAATTGATGCAGTGTACATTTATGTGAATATAACATCGGAAGCATATTGACACATTGAGAAAATGAAAATGAAAGTTGAGGCGTCACGTAGTTTACCCTTCCTGGGTCGAAGCAATGTTGGGCTCGTTAAAGTTCAAAGCACATTTTTCTTCCGCGCTCAACAGTCTATGAGCAATTCCACCTTTTCAAAAATACCCTCTAGAAATTTCTCCAGATAATGCAACAAATTTGAAATGGGAGTCCCACTTTTCCCTTTTCACCATTATATTATGTGTCAATTTGATAGTTATAGTATTTCGTTTTATGGTTCAAAATACATGTTTATTCTTATTGTTGTGAGTTGATTTTTATTTAAAAAGTATAGTCAACCAGACCAAAATCAATCTTACACAAAGCGTTAGAATTATAAATAATTTGGATGGGTTTGTATTTAGTATTTTCAAAATCATGGTATATGAGTTAGGTGAATAAAATATGTAAACCAAACCAACCGACCCATGTACACACATAGGAAGAGGTTGAAAACTTAGTGGTTAACCATACTAAAATGTTCAAAGAACCAGTCCCCTATAGTTTACATAAAGATATGATTGCTTCACAGTAATTATGGAAATAAATAATAATTTAAGAATTCTACATCTCTTCTATATATTCAATAATGTAATTCAATATGTAATATTCATACCAATAATATTTTGGTTGCGATTTTAAGGTTATCATCTATTTATAAGATAGATAAAATTTTAAATTATGTATCAAACTACTATTAAAATAAATATAATATCAAAATCGAAGTTAAAACACCAAATAAGTACTTACAGAATATTTATTGGCTACTAACTTTTGAGGGACTCATCTGTTTTAGGGCTTGCCAAATTTCTTCTTCTGTGAAAGGGGCCCAGAGTTCTTAAAATTGGAACTTGAATCAGAATACTGGTTTTGAATTTTGAACCTTGAATTCTTATAGACAAAGCTTCATAGAGGTGCCCTGGTAGTCCTGTGTCGAGTTTAGGCCTACAATTGAAATTAGAACAGAGATTTGTCAATCATCAACAGCTTTTTTCGGTCCAGAAGCATTCAACTTTTCCACTTTCACATTTGTCAATAATGGGAAATAAGCATGAAAAAAAAAACTACTCAAGTAAACACGAGTTCGGCAATACTTTTTATGACGAATTCCTTGAGAGCGATGACACTTTATTTATTGTGCTTATCACTCTCATCCTCTCAATAATATATAGATATTCCCCATGAGAATATAGGAGAATGTAAAATTCTTGCTCGTTGTGCAACTCCAGGAAGGGGTTTCTTGTCTTTTTGATAGAAGCATTTTTTTCACTTTGCAACCCACCTTCCGTTGGTTGAGTTTGCTTCTTGGGACTTGGGAGGATATAATGGGTTTGGGGTAAATTTATTATTTGGCCAGTCTTTGTGTTTAAACACATTAAAATGAATCCACAAAATCCAATTATATTGGTCTTTTAAAACAAAGCTAATGTAAATAGTAGTTTTAGTTACATACAAATTTTTAAAGTTCTAATTGTTATTAGATTTGTTGGATAACCTTCCATTCTAGCCATTATGTTTTATCATGTGGGTTTCATGTCAACGTGAATTTTAGTTTTAGTGACATACAAATATTTAAAGCTCTAATCATTAGTACATTTTACCTCCTATAAATTGAGGTAGTGGAGTTGGAGTGCGACATTAAACACACAATTACAACATCACGAACCTTATAAGTACACAGTTTTGAAGATAAGGGTAAATTTTATTTGCACTAAAAATGCATTTCATATTTTCAAATATTTCACCATTAGATTTTTGCTTTCAATAAAATACAAGAGAAGTAGAAAGAGTTGTTCACGTTACCCTTATAAGAGGTTATCTCACACGGTACTTTTACAAGAATTATACAGTAAGATTAAAGACGAGACAGGCTAGGTAACAATCTACCTTTACTCTTTCATTATTCTTAAATTCAAATTCATTCTCCAAGGAAAAAATCATACCTGCTAAAGCATTATGTTGCCGAATAAATAGTATATATCAATTGCTTACATTTTATAGATTCAGGATCAACTATGGACAAAATTGTTGAATCTAACTTTATTGTTCCGATCGCGAGAGAGATAGTTTTCAGGGAATGCATGAGAAATTATTTGAATAGTATGAGATGACATTTATCTTCTCATCTTCGATAAACTAAGAAGGAATGAAGTCAAATTTTCACATCAATTACAACATTGTGAATTTCTTAAGCGAGTATATAGTTTTAAATATAAGAAAGTCTAAAGAAGGGTAATTTCCAGTGTTATTAAGACCAAGCCGAGCCTGCTTGCCAGACCGCTAAAACCGCCACCCGGCCGCAAAACCAACTCGACAGAGTCATTTAGCCAGAACGACTTTCTAGAGCGGTCGGCGAGCGGGCGAGGCGGTTAACTGCTAGAGCCGCTCGCCCGACTTTTTCCTTTGGCCGTTGGGTTTAATTAATTTTTTTTAGAAAATGAAAGAATTAAAAACCCAAAAAAGTTTGGCTGCCGTGTTCAGCAGCCACCACTCGCCTGCCGCATTTTGAAAGAAAAAAAGAAGAAATTAAAATTTGATTCGTCGATTTAATTGGTCGGCTTCGTCGTCGGAGAACAGGGAAGGATATTCTGTTCTTGATCTCTCAAGGAAAACGAGAGAGAGAGGGGCTACAAACGGATTTGGAGGTAATGGTAGATTTGGGGAGAGAGAGGACGGAGAAGATGGAGTTAATAGCGGATTTGGGGAGACCGGGAGAGAGAGGACGGAGAAGATGAAGTTAATGGCGGATTTGTGATAGAAAAAGGAAGGAAGGATGGAGAAGATGAGTTAATGGTGGATTTAGGAAAGAAAAAGGAAGGAAGGACAAGGACAGAGAAGATAGAGTTGTGGATTTGGAAGGTGGGAGGTGGGGGCTCAAGATAGGCTCAAGATAGGGTGCATAACCATGGGTTATGCACCCATCAATAACCAAATCTGGACCCTTCATTTAGAAAATCCAGATCTAAGGATGGAGAATTAAAGGCTATTTTTATTTTCACTAGCTTTCTTAATTGACTCATATCTTTTTCGTTTTAACCCGGATTTTAATTTTTTTTGCACAGATGGAACGAGTTCACCGTGCTCTACAAAATGAGATCAATTTTCAATATTTTTTTAGGAAAAAAAAATTCTGGCCTCTCGGTACCAACTGCATACCATATGGTATCTTCTTCGTTTTTAATTCGTTTTTGAAAATGTTTGCACAGCAGGGATGAGTTCATCATGATCTACTGGATCTACAAATTTCTGGGTGAACAAATTACAGGACCAAAAAATACCACACAATACCATACAATACCACCATGGTATGGGGTGGTATTGTATGGTATCTTCTTCGTTTTTAATTCGTTTTTGAAAACGTTTGCACAGAAGGGACGAGTTCATCATGATCTATTGGATCTACAAATTTCTGGGTGAACAAATTACAGGACCAAAAAATACCACACAATACCATACAATACCACCCTGGTACGAGGTGGTATTGTGTGGTATACAATGTTAAAAGTCGTAAGTTACAATTAATATACTTCTATTATCATGTATTCAACCATCCTACAGTATTGGTTTGTTCATACCACCATGGTAGATTTTTCAAAACATAGG